GATACAGAAACCTTTTCATCCAGTGAACAGCGGCCTCCAACCAGAGGAAACTATCTAAATAAAGTGATGTTTTAATACCTGGTCGGAGTCCGTTAACCCTCAACAGTTCTATCAGCTGGTCCAGTTTAGTGAAGTCGTACTGGGGTCGTCCTCCAACGTCTCTACAGCAGCAAGAGCAGACAGAAAGTCAGCACTGAACCAGAAACACTCAATGTTTGTCACCCTCAGAACAGATCGATCTTTAATCAGGATGCATCAGCCGATATTCGCCTTGTTGATTGACTTCAGCTCATCGGTGAATAAGATGTTTCCACTGATGTTTATCTGCTGTTGCATCAGTTTTTATGTTGTGTTTGTTATTTCTAACTCAGATATTGGATCAATAATCACCCAGACTGAGCTGCACCGAGGCAGACGTACTTATATCTGTAGATGGGTTTGTTTCCCGGCACAAAAGGGCGAATAAATATCAGCCAAACTGTTACATTAAACCTCCGTATCGGCCCGTCTCTGATCTTTAATGTCTCATTGTGACGAGAGGTTGCTGGTCCACTTACTGCGCAGAGACCAGCTCCAGCATCCAGTGGATCCGGACCTGCTGGATCCCTCCATGGGGGACTGAGCCCACATAGGCCAGGTTCAGCTGCTGGTCCAGGCTCAGGTCAAACTGGTGGGCCTGGGTGTGAGGGAGCGGGGGGCTGGACACAGAGAAGAGCCTCCTGTTTAATCCACTCTGCGTATTATATTTATATTATAGTCTTATTAATGGTTATAACTTTATATCAGAACAATTAATAACCTACAAATAACTCTCTTTAACACAACAAACACAACAATATGTTTATTATTAGTGCAACGAAACATTTCAGAAATATTTCTTTAAATAATTTGAGTATTTTATGTCAGTTTATTGTGTTTAAATAAATATTGTTATACTATTTTTAAGTTCTGTTTTTACAATAAAGACTGTTTACATTGTGATTCCTTCATATATTGGAGTATACAATGACACTGAATCTGTCAGAATATAAACACACAATGTCTGTATGAGTGTTATAACTGATACAGATACACAATGCAGACAGAGGATTATATTTAAATATCAGGAAAACTGGTCTCTGATCAATATTCACAGGAAATACTCAATGTTCACTGTTTGGTTTCACTGTACAGCTCCAGTTACTGTTATATAATATGAAATAATCATAAAGTATGTTAGAGGGTCATCACTTTAACAGAATGATAGAAAGACAAAGGTTGAACCACTGATAGAGGCAGAAACTACCAGAATATTAAAAATATATCATCTTTTGAGTGATTCTTACCAAACTCCACTTAAAAAACAGTCATTTTAAAAAAGATCTTAGCTTTGATAGAGCTGCTTCCTTGACACAACATTATTTAATATGTCATCAGAGTCTCAGAGGTCTGCTGGAAGATTCGGGACTGAAACAAACCCACATTGATCGATACAACGTGTCCCTCACTGCTTCCTGTGGGGGACAGATGTGGACCTACCAGAACCCGGAGCTCCTCCAGAAGTGTCTCAGCTGTCCCGCCGCTCTGCGCACATTCACGCGGATGAAATGTCCCTCAGATGCAGTTTGGGTAAAGTTGAGGAGACAGAACAACACAGAGACACTTGTCCACTTCATGTCTGCTCAGCCACAACAAACACATCTGCTCCGGAAGCGCCGCAGTCAGCTGAGCGCGCTGACGTGTGCTGTGTGCGACCCTGTTGTAGTCTTTCTCTAAAGGAAGTGTAGTTTGTAGTTTGTTTACATTAAATTCAGCATGTAAACAAACAAAAAAACACTAAATTAAAATGAGATGTGTGAGTTTCATTAGGTTTCATGTAGAGAATGATTTTATTTAGTGTAACTGGACTTTTTATGGTTTTTATTTAGTTTTATTACATATTAATATATTTTAACCCTGCAGTGTAAATGATTAATAACCTCGAATCCTTGTTTTACTTGTGTTTTATCATTATTACTATAAACTTCATCACTAACTCAAGAGTCAGTAGCACTGATCCACAGATTGTGTATAATGAAGTACAGTGGCTCAGTGTAGTGAATATACATTGCTTATGTATTAATACACTTAATAAACTTAAATTAATTCTCTACTTTGTTTTATATTTTGTACAAAAAGTTTCAAAAAAGTGAAAATAACAATAGATGTTCACGTATAGATATTTCACTGTATGTAACTATATGTAATATTAGCCAAGAATAATCCACATTTCAGAGTAAAATAAAGAGTAATCAATATTTCTCACCTTTATATTATTGATTATTTATAGATTATAGGCCTCAAAACCTGTTTATATCTGCGTGTGATTATCCCTGTTATACCTTTATATGGGCGATGTATCCTCCAGGAAACGGACTGTTAATGCTGATTATTAAAGCTTTTAGAATATAATTCAATATTTTTCAATACAAACATAAAATAGTCCTTAAGAAACAAAGTCCAGTAATAGTTTATTTTTAAATATATGAAGTCACATGACCTGAGAACTTGACCCATAAAGATATAAAGCCTATACGACTGTTTCCCCCCGATACAGAAACCTTTTCATCCAGTAAACAGCGGCCTCCAACCAGAGGGAAACATACAAACTGTTCTCTTTTGGAAGAAACTAATATTTCAGATACTTAATATTTTATCTATTATTTTTAATGTTCTAAAAAATAGAAATGTGTGGTTTTGATTTTCTTAGTTTTAATTTTCCTTCCGTTGCACTTTAAATAATACCTGTTTGTTTCTTTACATGTTTAATGTGACTAAAACTAAACTACAAACATCTTTCTGACACAAACAATCGACAACAACAAGCTGTTAATGGGACATTTATTTAAAAAAAAGTTGGGAGAATCAAGAAGGCATGAAAGGAAAATCCATATGTCATTTACAGTCAAACAGCAACAGTTATACACAACCATTTACACAACCTGTACAAATATTTTTTCCCGCAAATTTTGCAATTTAAATTCAAAATAACTTAAATAGGTTTTCTATGTAAAAGTGCAAATCCTTAATGCGTGGGATGTCTGTAAGTAAGACCAATGCGACAGAAAGAGGTGCTGCGATGAGTTCACTGACTGTCGGGTTTTCTCCTGTAAAGGCATCACGAGCACATTTCAACTCTGAACCAGATACAGAAACATGAATATCATCGCCATGTTGTGGAGGTCACATACTTCACAGAGAGATTCAGCTGATCAGCTCTGTGCCAACACATCAACCTTTTGATTAACCACGACTTCCACTGGGACGTGCAGGTTCAGGAACAGTATAGTTGAGTTCTCTAGAAATGTAGATTTTATATTCATTATATTGTTATAAAGCCGCCTGTTTGTTTTGTGAACTTTATCTACAGGAAAACATAATTGAACACAGGAGAACAGTTTTTATTGTTAGTTTCCTGTTGGACAGTAATTTGTTCCATGTGTTGAGACTTTATGCAGCAGCTCAAACACACTAACGTTATTGTTTTCATCCTGTATTTTAGACAAAGTGCTGCTCTGACTGTAGCAGCGGCTGTTTTATTTGACACCTGCAGCATTTTTCCAAGCAGTGACTCTGAGCTGATCAGGTTCAGGTTCAGTGTCGCGCTGCACGTTAGTAACAGAGCTAAAATTCCAGAGAAGGACCGATTCAGGAATTAAGACCAGTATCGGTCGGTATCTCAGTATTGGTAACTAGCTGATCTGACCTCCGCGCAGACGTTTCTGTATCTGTGCTCTGAACATTTACTTCCTCTCCTGTCTCGAAGCGGTCTCATATATAATGCTTTTAATAAACATCATCCACACCTTTACTTTACCCTCGTGTAATTCTGATGCCTTTATGTTTCAGTTTACCGATAAATCATTATTGTAACAACGTCTGATCCGACAGAGAGCTCGTTCTCCGTCCAGCCCTGAATAAAACCACTTAAAAAAAACAATAAAACATTTCAGTTCAGTGTCTGTAGTGTCGGGGGGGGGGCATTACAGCTTAGCAACAATGCACTGTTACCTGTTTGGGTAGTGTATAGGTTAGCATTAAAATCACAGTCAGCAGACGGCCATTCTCGTACAGTTTATGAACCAGAACGGCGGGGCAGTAGTAGTCCACAGGGTTTTCAGGCTGTCGACACGCTGTGTGCGTGTGTGTGTGTGTGTGTGTGTGTGTGGAGGCGAGGGTCGTCGGTTCTGCACAGTCACAAGGCATGATGCAGGCGACAACGAGTGGCAAACTGTTAAGTGCTGATACTTTCAAGTCTCTATCAAGCATCCTCGCTGATTGGTGAGGAGGGATTGGGGGGGAGGAGCGGGGGACGAACCACGGCAGCCGTGATTGGGCCCACATGCGTCTGTATTAACATTGCAGCCGATGCACAAAAACAAAGAAAAAGGTCATCACCACGAGTTAGAGATAGCTACTGTATACAGCGACGGTGCTGCTCATTGAAGCAGCTGGTCACGCACGGTTCTACTGAGACTGGGAAATGTGCTGTCGGTAAAATAAAAAGGATGTTTAGGCATTTGCAATAGCGAATGGACCAAAATAACGAGCATCGAGTCTTTCTGTGTGTGTGTGTGAGAGTGTGTGTGATGTAAAGTAACTAGGACTTCTGCTCAGCTGCTGCAGCGGACTGGGCTGCACTCTCCGGTTTAAGGATCTGGTAGGTGATGAGGTACTCTGGGAAGGCCTGAAGGAGACACAGCAGCATTAGGAGACAGTTAAAGGGCGACTTTGCTATTTTTTAACCTATTTTCTACAATGTTTTTGTGTCAAAGTGAGAAATGAGGACGACAAGTTTAGAACTGGTTCTGGTTTTGAGTGAGAGAGGCTACATTTACTGCTATTAATGTTAGATAAAGTGTCAGAGAAACAGCGGACTGACAGGAAGTGACAGGCTGCTGTAGTCTGTGGATAAAAGTTTCATCATAGTTTATAATAACGCAGCAGTGAGACGAACGTGCACTGCGGGTGTAGCCAGAAGAACGCTCTGCATATGTTATGTGTCTGATGGAGCCAAAGCAGCATTATTATTATTATTATTATTATTTTTATATATACTTACAAAGATCTTCTCTTTTTTTTACCTGGATTTACTTTTGTTAACTGGAATTTATGGCAGGAAAGTAGTTTTTGCCTTCTTTTTTTTTTTCACTAAAAAATTCTAAAATGTGTGTAAAATGCTGTTAATAACAATTAAATATGCTTTAAATGATCCTTGTTAACCATGAATGTCATGCATTTAGTATGATGTCATTATATAGACTAACTTTCTGTCAGCAGACCCACTTAGCTCAGAGTTTTAGTCAGCTAGTGGACACAGCGGATGAAGGGTCAGAATGTCATTTCTCTGTGGAGTTTGTGCTCTCAGGCAAACGTATTTTGGCGATGAGTAATTGTTGGCAAGGATTCTCTGTGGCAGCGCTGCAAACTGAACCAGATTCAAAACCTGTTGACTCCATTAGTCACTTTGACACAAAAACATGGAAAATAAGTCCATGTTGAAAAACCTTAAAGCCTCAGAGGATTCAGGGAAACTCTGATTTACCTGCTCTCCTCTGTAGATGACGTACTCGGCGTAGGCCAGGCCGTTAACGCTCGGCCGCCCGATCACCGAGTGGTGTCCTGGGGGGGCGTGGGCCATCTTCATGGCACTGAACTGTAGGAAGGACTTCCCCAGGGTGACTCTGCAGAACAGCATCTGCCTGAGAGTCCAGAGGAGAGGACAAAGGTCAGACACACAGAACACCTTCATTCTGATGAAGAACAGAGTAAAGTGGTTTCACAACCAAATCATCATCTGCTGTCTGAAACTGCAGTTACCTGTGGCACAGGTAGCAGGACCGGTCTTTGTGCGTGGGGCAGCCTGTGCCTCCACCGATGCCGTACACGTACTGATTGCTCTTTGAGGAGTTCTCCGCAAAGTAGATCCCTGCTCCAAACATCCCTCCTATGTAGGCGTGGCGCTCATCGAAGCCTTTGTGGATGATGGCGTTGATGAACGGGGAACCTGGAGGAAGAGCGATTCCACACAGTGAACGACTGAAGTGTTTCAATAAACATATAAAACGCTGGAGGGCATGACAGTGGGCGTGGTTACCGTGGAACAACATCCGCTCATTGTGATGGTTGTGGTTCTCATCGGCGATCTCCTTCTGCCGGTGGGTGTAACGCTCTCTCAGCTTCTTATTGACCACCTTCTGAATCTGTGGGACGCACATCAACATGTCTGCAGTCAGAAACAGTCCCTGTTGAAGCTGCTCGTTATCAACAGACAGGGAGAGAGCGCTGGTTCAAACCTTGATGATGTTGTATCTGCTGAACACCCCCCCAGCGTTGCCTCCGTCTCTGTGCTCTCTGATGGTGCTCTGCATCTGAGGGACACAAACAAACACCACAAAATCAGAACCAGGAGTCACAACGACACTTTATATATTATAAATGTAGGTCCATCTGAAATAAGCTAATAATCCAACAACTCTTCTTTAGGAAGCATTTTCCAATATTCAGGACAGAATGTGTGTGTGTGTGTGTGTGTGTGTGTGTGTGTGTGTGGCTGTTCCTACCACAGCTGCGGTCTCAAACTGACTACAGTCTTCCTCTAACCGTGATATTAATTTGGTCATAGCTCACTTCCCCTTCTGACCTTTGAGCCCATTAAAAGTCGAGGTAAAAGTAAATCGACCGCAGCATGAAATGTAAATCTGGTCATTAATAGTCTGTGTGTGTGTAGATCTGACTGTACAGCATTCCCAAAATACACTTGATGCCAAAAGTTGTGTCATGTCTCTTGATTGACACGAGAGCCGGAATCAAAGGAACTTTTTCTTCTTGTAAAGCAGCTTTGAAGTGTCATCACGTAGTTTATTCTACCAACAGTGGAGTCTCAAACAAAACATACCCAACTATACATATGTGATCTGAGCGGCTCATATACAATAAAAATGTTCCAGGACAAGATACATTATTTCCAGGATATTTGGTCATTTTAGT